GTGGCCATCTGAAAAGAAATTTTGAGCGGCTGATTTTTGCCCATTTTTTTGAAAAAGTAAAAATAAATATTTTATTAGGAGTGAAAAAGGAGGACCATTGGATGTCAGCTTAGAAGAATAAGATCCACCCTTCACATTCTTTCATAGAAAGAAACCATCGACCTCTCTCCCCGTCAAAATTCTCTCTGAAACACTAGTTTGTACACCATCGAACCGTCCTACCCTCTGTCAAATTAGATTCCCAAAACAACCCCATCTCCCATATTGGATTTGTAAAACCACTTTTACTCTGGCATATTTGAACATGAAACCACTGTCAATGCCTCCAGGTTACAGCCGTCGATGCGATCAAATAAGTTAAAGCACTGTGCGTAAAGAGTGAAAAATCGAGGATGGGTTCTCAATTTGTTTGTTTCTTTCTTTGGATTCTGAGGCTGATCGTTGAAAACCAATTTGGTAAAGGACCAGATTTTGCTCCTCAATCAACTTTCGACCCTCCTCCCTAGTTCATCTCGCCGCCAACTCTAGTAATTGGCATTCTCTCTTACCTTCATCATTTCATTTCTCAAATTTTCATCTTTTACTTTACAAATTTTTTATTAATTTCATGTTTCTGTTTACCGTTATTGATGAAAAATTTACATTTTGTTTCTCTTTTGTTCTTTTGTTGGCCATTGGTATTGTTCTGGGCTGCTATTATCCTGTTTGGTTTGTTGTTGTTATTCCAGTGGTATCCTGATATGCGGTTGGAAAATGTGCTGTGGTTGCAGGACTAGATGCCTGTCTGGCAGTCGGATTTCTCTAAAAATTACTAGACTATCTATTTAGTGAGTAGATATGTTTTCCAGTAAATGCTTGACCTGTTTATTTGTCTTCCAACGTATGCGGTATTAGCATATTGTTTTGATTGTTTTGTTATTAAGTTACTTTTGTGAGTTTTTCTGTATTGGTGAATGGCTGGAAGAAAACGTGGCTCTCTTTTTGTAGTAAGGAATTATTTTTTTTATTTTCACATCCAGCATATTTTTGTTCTTCCAAGACGATGAGTTCTTGTTATTTCTCATGTAAAATCATCCCTGCATATTCTAGGATTTGATCCATGGAGGCATAGAGTGAACAGTTAGTAGGGTATCCTGTCTTTAATTACAACAGTTGTATATCCTTAACGTTTATCATGGAAAGATGAATTAACATTCAGAAACAAGGTGGCCCTGGCAATGAAAGAAATCATTCAAGTTTTTCCCATGATAGTTGAGCTGTTCTTACTATCACTAGGTTAGCACTTCTAATCATGATCTCAGACAAATCAAGAACTGCTTTGGCCCAATAAAACAGTGGAATGCACCTATGGAGGTGTGTATTTGTTCTTATCATTCCATCACAATTCAAACCGGCTCCATTATGAAACTGATTGAAAATTTTTGTGACCTCCAGATAGTGCCACGTGATTATTTTCTAGTAAGATTACTTGATGCATAAATAATGCATTTGATTTTTTTTTTTCAAGAAATAATACATTTGATCTAATTCATAATTTCATAGCCCTTATAGGAGTTAGATATTCCTTTTGGTACTAAAATATTATGCAGACTAAAATGATACAGATTGAAAAGGTTACAGACCAAATACATATTTATTATACTCATTTATATTATTTATTATCGATTTCTGTGTGTTTATCAAATTTGTAGTCAAAAGAATATCCTATAATTGTATGGTTTTTGAACAACAGGTATATTCTGGACACCATCTCTCTACTTATTTGTTAGGATCAGTGGTTTAATACATCTAATGAAATTGTTTGCTTTCAAAGGTTTGCAGAGTTGTTCCAATTCCCAGGAAAACTAAGGTGCGCTGTACATGACGCTCACAAAAAGGATCTTTTTAATTGACTGCATTGGAATTGTTCATTAAAACAGTGACTTTACTGTACTGAAATATGTGGTATGTTTAATCACCTAATTGCTTTTACTTATATACTTTCTCTACACTTTCTCTCTGGATGCATATATACAACAATGAGGCAAAGGCATATTTAATTTATTGTTGTTATAGTACTTATTCCAACAACTGAATGCTGAATTTCCTAGAAAATCTCTTGTTAGTGGAGAACTTTCAGAGATGGTATATAAACCTTAAGAGAGTTGGAAAAGGTTCTTTTGTGTATCTTTGTGTATGACACGGCATAATATAATAATCAGTTCCAATGTGAACAATAAATAGTATAATGCTTGAAAGGGTTAATAAATTCTTGAAGAATATATAACATCATATAAGTTATCATGCTCACACATTTACCACTCAGACTCTTTGAACTATTCTGATAATTACAAGTGCTATCCTTACCTATAGACAGAACAGAATATCATTAAGTTATCATTCTTGCTCTATCCATCTTTGAGTTGTTTGGGTTTAGGCTAAGCAGAGTAACCATGCATCTTAGTACAACGTCTTCTTTTCTGCTTGCATTTCAAGTTAACAATTGGTTCCTAACAGGAATTATATCCTCATTAAACTAATCATTGTTCAAATATTAATTCAAGTCAGATATGTTCTCACCATCCATCTTTTAAAGAAAAATTATTTCTGTTGGCGTTATCTAACATGTGAAACCTGAGTATAATGCTCTGAATGCTGCATGCAGATGTCGTTGGTAATTTTCTTCTCCCCTTATTTCTATTTCATTGAAGATTACTTGTATGTTTTTCTAACTATGCTTTGATTTCTCTATGCAGAAGCTGCACCAGTGGTTCGTAAAGAGATTAGGTCATCAGAAGCAACCCCTTCTTTGGAAAATGTACATAATAGATCCAAATCAACCTCTCTTCATTGACCTTATAGATTGTTTGATACTGAAACCAACATCAAAGATGGGAACACTTTTTTTCTTGACCAAGAGTTGGAGCGTTGTGTTAATCAATTGATGCTATATTCCAATTTCTTTGCAACTTGAAAGAAATACTGCATACATCTTTTTGGTTAAATGATTGTGCTTCAAATCATTTATTATTATTTTGGAGTAATTGGGCTATTCATATTTTGCATTTCAGTTTCTTTGTAAAGTGGCATTTTATTTTTCGATTAGCTAGAATTCCCTTTTTTAGATTAAAGTTCTAGTCTATTCAATTTTGCTCTCTGTTTTGCAAATTTATAACCCTATTTTTTTCTTTTATTATTGTTTATTGAAATATATTATACAGACATCTATTTTTTCTAGATTATCAAACTTACGTTTGTTTGTACTTAGTCTAAATTTCATAAATTTTTACATGTCTTTTAAGTTTAAATTTTAGTTGTTTGAATTATTTGAGGTTTATTTTATTTTATATATGTTTAATTCTTTTTGTGTTAGGTAAGGACTAAATTGCAAAAATTAGAATTCGTAAGACCAAACCAAAGAAATCAAGATTAGGAAGATGAAAGTGTCAATCAGTTAAAAGTATGAGGGATCCAAATGGTTTCACCAACGAAGAGTCAAAATAGCTTTAAAGGCCAAAATTCCGACGCGGACTGTTCTCTGTGGATACAATAGAGGTGTCGGCACTTTCTCCGCGCGTGGACACTTCAGGCGATTTCCGGTGTATAAGGGCCAAGTACTTATTGTTTAGACATTGGTTCCAATTAGGCTCTCTAGTTAATAGTCATCCAGTATTAGAATTCAAGGCAGCCGGTTGAGGAGGAGATTTTTCTAGCAAGAGGAAGAGGATGAAGATGAACTACAGGGAAAAAGAGAATTTTTTAGTGGTGACATTGATCGATTTAGGGTTCTTTTTTTTATTTTTGTTAAGAACGAAATTTTCTTTGTAATTGTTCTTTAAATATTAAACTATGAATTAAGTTATTTTTTCTAGGATTCCAATTGGTTCAAACCATAAATCTTCAAGTTTAGTTGAATTCAATTTCTTTATTTATTTTTTATTAAAATGATTATTTTATTTTGTATTTAATGTTTTTAGTTGGCTTAATCACTCAATTAGTTCTTTGGGTAATTGATACTTATCTTAGAAAAAAAAGTGTTATGGTTAAATTTTTTAATATAATAACATAAGTTGTATGAGATAAAAATATACTCATAATATTTATATGTGGTTTCAAAGGAAAAATTATTAGACTTAATAATACTTCTACTTATTTTAAATTGTATAGGAATACAAAACTTGATAGATTAAAAGGTAAATATTGCTAGATCTTAATAAACATTAGTAATTTATATATGAATTTTTTCTATAATCACTTGAGAATTAATAGATTGAAAGAAAATTCAACAGCAGAATTTTGAAGAGGATTGGGTTGATGAAAATTGTGTCCCTAGATTGTTTAAAAATTGAAACTAATTTTGTAAATTAATTTAGTTAGAATTGATTAAATCATATTTCTTCTTTTTAAA